TTGCTGAATTTAAGTGTGTCTTTACTAATCATTTATTCTGGAAGCTGCAATTTTGAACTCTCCATCTGACTGCTCAGCTCAGAAGAAGGCTGGCCTACAGAAAAAAAGCATTTTTTTGTTCTTTCAGAAGCATAAAAAGATGTTAGATTGTAAAGTAAGCAGTGCTACAGTTAAATTCAAGAAATATAGCTGCATAGGATAACAGATAAACAGATTTTCCCAACAGTCTCAAGCATTCTCCCCATCTTTTTCCCAAGTGATACAAAGAAAAGGAACTAAATGTTTCTTTGTCAGAGATACACCCTGGCAGGAAGGCTCCTGACTTTGAGGTTTAAACACCTTAGCAACAGCTATGCTTCTATCCAAACTAATTTCTAGATGAAAAGAGAGGAGTAGAACAGTGAGAAACCAAAAACCAGACATGAAAAAAATCTAGTTAGATTATCCAATTCTCTTTTGCCTGCTCCATCAGTCAGAATGGTATATTGCCATTCAAGGAATGACTAAAAATGAATTCATTTTTATAATTGGAATACAAAACTACTAATCAAATTTGCTTCAGAGGAACCAAAGCAGCCTATTGCAGATTCTGTCAGGCAGACAGCATATGTTTGTGAGCTCTTAGGTATGTTTAGTATTGCAGTATTTGTCCAGCCACACCATTAAGTTCAGTGTTGCAGCTCTACCAGAAAACAGCAGCTAATGCTGAGGAAACGCCTCATGCAGCATCATAGCCACAGTGTAACTTCAGAATCCAAGGAGGGAAAAAATCCTGTGCTCAACTGGCAAGATCTGCCATAGTTGTTTTGTTATTAATAAAATAAAAAATTAAATTAAAAAGTCATTTCATCCATCTCAACTTTGTAGTGGCAAATTTAGATTTGGTATAATAATAATAATAATGGCCAGTCTTCGTGAGCGAAGATTTGGGAAAGGTCAATAACCCTTCGAGCCTGCGCAGTGGATTTTTTAGGTGAGACACAGCGTGCGCTGAACTGAGCCCACCCTTTAATCCTGAGGTTCAT